GTAACTGAGCCAGGGTGTGATTTGGCACAATCCAAATGGGTCTTTAGGAGTGGGTCATATTCGGAAATCAGTCGAAGAAGTGCAAGAAAGTCTCCGGAATTTGAAGCTTGAGTCAGTTTCTCCACGTGATCTCTTAAGAATAAGAAATTTGATGCAGTTCACGACTCTCTTCAGCACCTCCCTCCATCGTTTTTCCTATCCTTCCATTTGGTTTTCAAGCTCACAAGCTGAGAAGATGGTTCCTTTCAGCCTCTTTCTATTTTGCAAAAGCCAACCTGTGAGCAATGCTGCTCTCATGGGCCGAGACCTTTTCGATCTTCATCCATTTGCTGAACCCATCCACAGTTTCAAATGATGAGATTGAGTTTGAAGCAGATGAAATAAATAAGAGGTAACAGAAGTAAAATGTAGATTGCTTGAATAGCGAGTACAGGAGCCATGTTCATGGCACATCCTACCCGTTTGACAGTTTTCTTGTAAACCACGCCCTCGTAATGCCAAGGCCTCCCTTCAGAGACAAAGGGTTCATCCATGTGTTAAAAAAGACCGAGGACCTCTGACAAGCAGCTCCATCTGAAGATCGTTGTTGATACTCAGATGGAGAGCGGTATCTTCGAAACTCAAGGTGCTCCATGTCTATGAAGACCAAGCATGTAGGGAACGACCTGGGTGCCCTCGACTTCAACGTTATCCTCCTCATCGTCAAAGATGGAGTCTGAAGAATCACTTTCCTGAGCAGGACCAGGACATTGGACTTCGTCATCTTCTCATTGAGCAAGTCTAAAACTTATAACGCTAACAACCGAGTTTCCGTACAAAACAACAAACAAGCAGAAAGAAAGCCGATAGTCAATGATACCTAAGACAAATTCTTGTCCACGGTTGTTAGAAAAACAAAACAACAACAAAAATCTTTTTTGAAAAATGTACCATTACTGTATATTGGTTTGTCGAGAATACAATATAACCAGTAAGTACGATTTTTTTCCCCAGAAATTAGAAAATATTAAGAAAATTTTACTAAAAATGCCTCTCTAATAGGAGTTATAAATCATCTTATTCAAAACTATTTAAACAAAATAAGTCTTTTGAAACAACCTAACTAGAAAGCACATTTTTTAGGCCTGCCAAATACAGGTAACGTGTTTTTAAGCCCGTATGCAAGTCTTAACGTTTATATTTTCTTGAAAAGTAAAGTAAAATATTGAAGATGGGCATAAATGTCCGTGTGTAGTTGGAGTTTGTACTGTGGTTCCAAGTGCACCCGGGGGCAATTGCCCCCCTCTCTACGCTACTGTATACATATATGTTCATACCCTACCGTAGGAATAAGATCTAAGATCCTTGGTACACTCAGAAACTTGAACAAAGGAAGTAGTATGTCATTTTTATCTGCGTAAAAGGATTAGAACACTTTACGACCTTGCAACATCTGGTCAACATGGACGTGATTAACTATAAGAAAATTTAGAAAAAACATTATTTAAATGTATTGGAATAAATTCATATTCTATGAAAGGATGAAATTAGTAGCTATTCAACAAGGACACGTTTTTGCACTAGGTGCTAATAATAAAATAAAATGTTGTGGTTATCTGTACACGTTATTGGCTGACACAACTAAATATAACCATTCTCTGTCTAATTTTAAATATTGTATTTTTTTCAGCATGTCCAATACAATATTTAATACTATTCAATGAGTGTTTGAAAATACTATACACACACTTGATTTAGTTTTTTGACGTCATAATCAGTTTTCTAATAAGTTTATAAATAATAGTTATCGTATTAAATGTTGATAAGAAAGTTGTTCCAAAAATGGAAGGTGGCGGCGCATATATTGCCAAACGTAACGAGGTTTTTTAATATTTGTTTGTAATCGAAACCCGGATTCTAGCGTTGTAAGTCCGTAGACATACCGTTGTGCCACTGGGGGTGGTGGTAATGACAGCTTTCTTTATTTTATAAATACATATGTTTGTAGTTATGTACTTCTGATAATAACAAACATAAAAGTAGGAATGTATCATCAGGCAGTTTTATCTATATGATCATTAGTTTTCGTTTAGAATGTCACAAAACAATATGTATAATATCAAATATAATTGAAATATTTTTTTCATTACGACCTCTTAGTTTTCCCAAAAATGTGTGTGTGCCTCTCTCTCTGTATATATATATATTATATCATTATATTTGACTGGCTTCGTCAATTACAGAGGAGAAGTACATTATATAAATCAGTTTTGGTCACTCACAACGTCATTACAATCCATGTCGCTACATTTGGTGAAGCTCTACCTGACGGCCGTAAATCTTAACAAAAACCCTGTAGCGTAATTTTTATTGCAGGAGGTTCTATCATAAGTCTGTCATATAATAAGCACATCACTAATCCTGATTGCTTTCCATAAGCCATCTAATTTAAGAGGCACGATTTCCCAACAATCATTTCAACAGTCCATACCCACTGAAATCCATTGGCTCTGCATCCGGCAACATGACCAGCTATTCTTCTTATGGAATAGCACAAATACCCATTTCATTCTCTAGGTGCTTAAGGTATGCAATTGCTAAGCATACATGTTATGGAAACAATTTGGACACATGTGCCTTGTGTTCTTGGATTCTCATCTACTATATGATGACACACTTTGCTAATCGCAGATGGAGTATGAATTGTTGCAAGATGGTCCTGGTGCCTCAAGTTGTCCTATATTTTGTTGTTTTCCAATGCTGTTAACCATAAAGGATATCATTGCCTTAGAAATTCTAAATCCCCAATCTGAACACATCTTTATGATATGAATTTATAAATATTTTGCATTGAAAAGGGCTGTTATATACCCTTCCTTACTTTTGTAATTTTTACATATATCTTATTTTCTACCTTATTATTTTCAAGTTAAAATTTCTGAAGCATTTTTTTTTTTACTTTTTATAACTTTCATTTTCCAGCTGTTGCATGATAATAACAATCAGTGATTTTTTCCACGTAAGATATTAACCCTGAATTAGTCTTCCGGTATCTTCATAGACCCCAAATATTTTGTAAACATCAGCGTTGACAGATGGAAGCACATACGTGTTTGTTGTTCTTAGTAGCTTCAGTATTCGGCTAGTTTATGTTAAGTTGTTACACTTAATTTAGGTGGTAAAAAAAAAAGAAACACGTTGTAATATTCAATGTTCATTTATTGATTAATAAAGGAAAAGATTTTGAGTGTTACAGTTTTTTTTTGTTTCCAAGATAATAGTTTATTATTATTTAAATTATTTTAAATACATTTTTTTATGATGGGGTCCATTTGGACCCCAGTAGAGCGACTATGGCCAATTTTTACAGTAAACTTAATGCAGAGTTAATAAAAACAATAAATCTGCCCATATAACTACTACTATACTGGTATGTATGCAAATAATATAAAAGTCAAATTAGTACAAATTTTATGAAATGTGACAAAAATTGCTTTGAATTCTGAAGTATGTAAGAGTATATATATATATATTTAGTTCTTAAAGTGGAGTTAAATACAACTAATGGCAAGAACAAAATTTTCAATAAGAGTACACATTGTTAGTCATCCACATTATAATAAATTGCTACTATAGTATATCTACAAATTTAAATTTTATATCCTTAAATTAGTACTGTTCCCTCTGTTCTTTTTTTTTAAGAACTAGTGCTAAGAGTATAAGGTTATTGAACTGGTTGATATTTCAGAATACTTATTTTTTCAATTACCCCAGGAGTGGTACAGTGTGATACATTTGCATTTAATGATGTAAATGTTCTTTTATACAATCTTTTAGGCTACCTTGTGCTCCCACCTCTTTTTTTCAGAATATTTTTCTTTTGAAAATTCTGAAATTCCGAAAGTACTTTGGGTTAATTGTGTTTTTAGTTTTGGACAAATCATTCTTCCAAAGTTTTAAGTCTAAAACTGATCCATGCTTTTTTTTTTATTCCCACATTATTATTTTGAGCTTAGAACTTTAAATGTATGGATTTGCTTTGTGTTATTGATTAATGTACTGAAGATTATTTAAGTTGATGTAGTGTCTTGTACACATTATTAAAACTTGGTGTGAACCTAATACGTAAATATAGTATCTTGTATACTTAATTAAAACTTCAGTTCTCAACATTATTAATCAACAAAGGAAGATATAAAATATACGAGTTTTTATACTATAACAAGTTTTTAAATTCCATCTAAATGCACCAACAAGCTGGTAGGCATTTATTTAAAATGAAAGAATACATTTTGCCTTAAAACATTCTCAATATTTTTTCAATAAATGTATAATAACATTAAAAGTTTAAGGGTTAATAATGTCTTAGACATGTTTTAAACAAAAAGACTACACTTTCTTGAAAATAAATGTTAAAATTTTCTAAACAGTTCAAAATACCTTTATACCCAAGTTCTAAGTAAAATACACCATTTATTTCTTCAGCAGAACTATGATGATTCTTTAACTGACATAAGAAGCAGTCCATTTGAATCTTGCGATGAAAATATTTCTTCATTTCTTCAGCAGAACTATGATGATTCTTGAACTGAAATAAGAAGCAGTCCATTTGAATCTTGCGATGAAAATATTTCATATTCAAAATGTTTACGTTTGGAGGGGAATAGTATTAAAAGATACTTTCAATGTTTGTGAAAGTATTAAGAGGTACAAATTCTTAATTAATACATGTAGTAGCTATTGTACAAACTTACAAATCAAGATCAAATATTCTTGTACTCATTAGCACATGTATATGTTTCTTCATCTTTTTTTTAAATATACGAGTTGCTTAATATTTGCTGATTTATCAAAAACAAAAGGTTGGAAAAAAGTTAACATTTTCAGACCAAAACATTATATTCAACTCAGTTATTATTGTACATGACTAATAATTGTAGACAGAGGCTATATTCGTGCCAGTTTTAACATGATTTCAGTGGATATATTAATGACATTTTTACCACTACACATGCAGAATCATGTATTTTTTACTCTCGAGCACAACCAGTTATTGCTGCAATGATAGCAATATTTGCTTAGGTTATGCCATTACTAAACATCTATTGATGGTTGAGTTAAGGTATTTTGAACAATATAGTAGGTCTACTGACTGTCATTTAGATATGTATTCTGATTTTTTTTTGAAATATAGCACTGGTGGTTGTGAATTATCAAACTTTCTGCATTATAATATTATCTGCACATGCCTAGCATTAAGGGCATAAATATAATCCCTGAAACTGCATTATGTTTGGCATATTACCACTATGATAAAACAATACATGTATATTAACAATAGTGGCTAATTGAATATGTTTGTTGTTAATTGAAATTGAGACAAATTAGCCACATGGCTAAGACCTTTTTTGATCCTAGCACTAATAGAGATTGTTACTTGTCTACAATATACCATGCCTAACATGTTTACGGTTTGGACTTGTGCACAACACACTACAACTATGATACCTTAGTTAAATGTTAATTGTTTGGACTTGTGCACAACACCCTACAACTATGATACATTAGTTAAATGTTAATTGTTTGGAATTGTGTCCAACACCCTACAACTATGATACATTAGTTAAATGTTAATTGTTTGGAATTGTGTCCAACACCCTACAACTATGATACATTAGTTAAATGTTAATTGTTTGGACTTGTGCACAACACACTACAACTATGATACATTAGTTAAATGTTAATTGTTTGGAATTGTGTCCAACACCCTATGAGTATGTTACATTAGTAAACATGTTGATTGCTTGGATTCGTCTACAACATATTATGCCTATTTTTCATTAATAAATTCATCACTACAGGTAATATTTTGAACTAGTATAAAAGCCTATCAAAAATGATGGGAAACCAAACCCTACCAAATTTGAATCCTCTAATATGCACTTGTAACTTTGCTGTTTGTAATTAGACATTAGAAAAATAAAGGGCCTTCTAGCTTTCGGAAACCAAAGCCTATCATATCTCCTTTACCTAAAGAGTGTCTCTTCCCAGCATTAGTTGATCACAGTTATTTTCTAATCACATCAATTGCATTATTGCAATAGTTCTCTTAAAACCACATTTCTTGTAAATACTCAATAATTGTACAAAAACATCTTTTCATAAGAAACAGCAAATTAATTTCACTTAGTGCTAAATAAATTCTTGGTATAAAAACTACCTCCTTGACAGACTTTTATACAGCAGAAAAAGCGCAGACATTTAGGAGCTAAACTACCTCCTTGACAGGCTTTTATACAGCAGAAAAAGTGCCGACATTTACGAGCTAAACTCCCTCCTTGAAAGGCTTTTGTACAGCAGAAAAAGTGCAGACATTTAGGAGCTAAACTACCTCCTTGACAGACTTTTATACAGCAGAAAAAGTGCAGACATTTAGGAGCTAAACTCCCTTCTTGACAGACTTCTATACAGCAGAAAAAGTGCAGACATTTAGGAGCTAAACTCCCTCCTTGATAGACTTTTATATAGCAGAAAAAAATCCCAAAATTTGGGAGCTATTTATGCCTATGTTAGCAATTGAATTCAACTAAAATGGGAACAGGCAATGAAGAGAGGAAGTATTATAGGAGAAAAAACAGAATTGGACTCGTGTAACTCACGAAATTCGGAGACATTGAGCATGACCAATCAACACTTGGTTTTATGATTATAATCCTGTAAAACACATTTAATTTTTAGTTTTTTTTTTTTAATTTGAAAATTGAAGTGCACTTAATGGTGAAAGATAAAGAGAAAACTTTTATACATCAAACTGTTGTGCATTTTGTAAACACTGATTTCACATATGACATCAAAAAGTTAAATTTGGAGATTTCGAAAAACACACATTGCTTTTCTGACATTAAAAACAACAGAATCAATTCTGATTGAACTTAAAGATTATGTAAACTTAATAAAAAATTTTAATATCTAACATTATATGAGTTTTTTTTCCACAATGTGGTTTACTTAAATTAAAAACTTCTTCAGAGATGAATAATATGTGATAATTTTTGTACATCCTGTATGTCTTACCAAGATGTTCACATTATTTTTGGACTGGATTGGACACACATAATTGTTTATATGACATGATTAGGAGGTAAACAAAACACCACAAGAATTATTGATTGAGAAAATAAAAATCACAAAATTATACTCAATTAATCTTAGATTTTGAAATAAATAATGTAGAAAACACAAATTTGAAATTAATTAACATACAAAATAAATCTCAAAAACATTTTCATTCATAATAGTGAATGTTTAAAAGATCACTTCTTAAAGAATTTCTAAATTTATTTTATGTTGAATTTTGTGCACAGCTACTTGAGGGCTATCTGTGCTAGCTGTCCCTAATTTTGAAGTGATAGACTAGAAGGAAGGCAGCTAGTCAACACCAGTTATCGTCAACTCTTCGGCTATTTTAATTGAATAGTGGGATTTGACCATCACTCATATAATGCACCTATGGCCCCAAAGTGCAGAACACAATTATAGTTTGACATGTTTACCACTGAGACACATTCATTCATTTTGAAATGGATACTGAGTGATTGATATAAAAGTTTAAAGTGTGCCGAAGTTTTAAAATATCGTAAAGGGTACAATATATATATTTTTAGTCCAACAACAACAAAAGAAGTGCAAAACAGGATATGAGTATAAAACATTTAACCTGGTTCACGTGCTTCAAAGTCAAGGAAAATCAAAGTTCTAAAAATGACAAAAAAAATTACACACTGGGATTTCATGCATAAAATATGTGAAGGAAAGAAAGCCTACTGAATATTTAAATGTGATAGGTTGTATCCCATTACGTGACGCTCCTGGCAAGATCCACAATAACAATGACAGAACCCCAAAGAGAGTGAATCCATAAAGAAGCCCCTGACAAACACAAAAAATATCAACAGAAAATTATAAATAAAAACAAAATGTAATCTGAAAACATTTTTAATCCATTTTTATCATGCTTGCCTTTATAAATCAAGAAGGCTAAACAAGAGTGCTTAAAAAAATCATCTTTTGATACTTACATGCATTACATAAAAATCAATTCTTTCTGAGCTAGAGTTCTCATCTCCCATAAACATAATGTAAGCTAAAAACTGACATATCCAACTAAAATATTATAACATATCCTTAAACTTTATAAAAATATTACATTTATTGTTTACTTATAAAATTAATTAGTAATATAATTAATTTTCATCGTCTGCTAAAAAATCTGGACAAGTTTCATATTTGCTTAGTATATATTTACTTTTATGGTGTTTTGGCCTGACATTTCCTTTTATCCACTAACTAATTAATACTTCATGGTATGCAACTATCTACCACATATACCATTCTCCTATAGTGATAATGTCATACTTACAAAATATTTATTTAGATATGCACTCTGGAACACAGTAAATTCACTTGAAGACGTGTCCTAACTCAGCCCTATTTCAGGGTCAACTTAGAATCTACCTAATATTTCATTGGATAATCGTATTGTGATCTAATTTACCTTGTGTGTGTGTGAGAGCCTGTTCCATGACTGTTATGTAGGGCAGAGATATTTTCAGATACATGTGATACAATTTTCTGATTGGTAAACTTTGGACAGAAGATGAGTTTTAAATGCAAGTTTTGACTTGTAAGAACCAAAACATACTTGCTAAGATTCATCTTCTATAAGCTGCTGATTGTGTACATTAATCAACCATACAATCCATTTTACTTTATTCACATGTAAAGTTCATTGTAATTAATTCTTTTGTTATAAACCAGTTTTTATTCATACAACATTTATTTCATTTTCACAGAACTACAATGAAAATGTCTTTCACTTAACAATCAGTCACTTTTTCAGTTTCCTCTCTCCAAGTAAATGAAATGGTTATTTTACTTTCAATACCACACTGAGTTTTGCTTCTTCCATTCAAACAAAAACAAATAATTACACCTATCCTTGTGCATACTAGGTTCAAAAACCTCTAGTTATTACAAAGATCGGGTAACTGTGTGTGCCAGATTTATCCTTGGGATACCACACCTCCAACCTCTCCAAAGCTAGGTCAACATTTAACATTAAATACATGCAAAACTATACAAACTTGTATCTATGTCATGTTCATGTTTAAATTCCATCATTTATTTTAGGCCAATAATATATAAAAATGCCTGAAGTGGTACGACAATGTATTTGAATTTCAAAGCAACCTACTGCATGTAGCTAATTTAGTTAAGTTTGTTGTAGTTACCATTTTAATTTAATAACAACTTATTTATAAAAAAAAACCTTGTTTACTTTAAAGTTTTACAATACCTTACACATTGTATTTCCTCATCTTTAAGGATTGCTGGAGATAAATGTTTACAGTATCACGAGTAGTATTTATAGAAAAGTTTGATTGTATGACTGTCTAAGCTTTGTAAGACAAGGTAAAAACTTACCTTGTAAGGGGAAAGCAAAATTTTTACTGTCATCCTCCAACATTTCCTGGTGATGTCCTTCAAAATCAGCAAAATTTTTTTCCCCATAGAACTTCATCAGATAGTTCATTACAGCTGTGGAATTCCAAGTTGTTTTGATGTGACAGTCTGGACAGAGCTGGATGGTGGGAAACTGAACTTTAGGGTGGTAAGGATCTTCTGAAGCATCTCCAGCAAGACGACGATTGACACGATTGTGTGCTCTCCACAGCCACAGCACGGTATCATTAGGATTGACGAGGTCAGTCTGAAGATCGGCAGCCATTTCTGCGAAGTGTCTTGCACAGTAATGGCATGTAAAAAAGTTCCGCACATAGTCTCTCATGGCAAACAACACCTCACGAGGATTGTCAGTACCACCTTGTGCAAAACAAAAAATTGTTTCATATTTTCACAATTTTTTTTATAAACATGCAATGATACTTACACTTCCTCTGTCAAAAAATGCAGTAGTTCATATATCACATCAACTTTGCAATCACATCTTCAATTAAATAATGAAACCTTTTGTATTCCAATTTATTATTTTGAGAAAAAAAGACCCCTGAGCCTAAGTATAGCAATAGTAACAGTTAAATCGGGATTTTGAAAGAACAGGAATTCCCTTTTGTGATCAGAAATACTAATGGCTTGAATCAAGAAAGACTCCATACCAGACCGTTCCACCACAATTTAACTCCCAATTGTCTTTCACATCTTAAAGACCTTGTAAATTTAATTACATGTTTATCTCTCAGTTAACATGTGATGTCCTCAAAATACAAAAAATTCCATTCAACATTATACAACCTTTTCTCCTGTAACATAAGATGGCACACCATTGTATTTCCTTGAGTAAGGTATACTACATTATTTATTGTTACTTTCATTAACAGTATTGGTTATTCTACTTCATATGTCAAATTTCATTATTTTTATTATTATTATACTTTTATTACAGATATTGTTTTGCACTGTTAGTTTAATGTATGTATTTAGGATTGACCTAATCAGTTTTGGTACCTATGGTAGACACAGAACAACTAGCCCATTAAGTAGCTTTGTGCTTAATAACAAATAAGCAAAACAAAAAAAAACCTTAATTGTGTGTTTCAGACATTTATGGATTAATTACATTCCCCCTTTAAAAATTTTAGACTTCCCATACATGTAACACAATTTCTGAGGAAGCAGCAGACCCTTTAGGCTTAGCTGGGTTTTTTCCATCTGAATTTATATTTTCTTGTATTCCATACCTTTGTTAAAGTCCTCTAGGGCCTGTACTGTTAACGTATGGAACAACATCCAAACTCCACAAGGATAACCACGAAAGGTAGGTTTACTACCTTGACAAGCTTGCCACTCTCTCATAACTGGAAGCTGGATGGTATCACTCTGCAAAGCATCCATGTCAGATTAATGTTTTGGTGTCTTGAAAAATCAGAATAGAAAACCATGATTGAGATCATACTGAAACTCTGAAAACTCCCGCGCCTATGGACCCGAGCACCAAATCTTTTACGTACCATGAGGTGCCTCTGTCCTAAACTTCATTTATTGTTTGTGCCAATGCAAAAATATTAGTGACAAGCAGTGTAAATATACATCAGGAAACTGAAAAAACAATTCACTTGTTTTAACTGATCTTGGTATTGATGATTGCAAAGATTAAATACTATAGAACATCCTGTAAGTACATGTAATAACCATATTAATGTTGTATTGTATGTAAATAGTAATTTATTCTAATTCTGTACTATATGATATTTAATTTTCAAAAGCTGACATGTGAAGATTGTTTATTATTACTGGCAGAAAAAATTCAATATTTAGAGAGGCTAATTAATCTCTGTATGCACCGTCATTATTGCAATTTCTAGTTCTAACTTTAAAACGTTCTATATAACTATCCTAAACACATATGACACTTTACAGACCTAGATGATAATGCAAAATAAATAACTTTTGTCAGCAATGGTCACAAAAGGTTCTCCTCAACAGAGAATCTATGAGTAAAGCAAGAATTGTTTAAAAATAACACAAAAAAGTGTAATTACTGATGTAATACGAAAAAATAGAGAAATCAATGAGGGTTATATCAAACATCTATCAGTTGTGAAGTCTGATACATTAAAAATAGAACATTGCCACCTGTTTATATAATCAAAGCCTTTTAGCATTGAATAAACACATCTTAAAAAACTGTAATATTAAACATATTAGCTCATATTTGATAACAAAATCAACAACATAACCATGTTTGAGTTGTATCAGCTCCAAAAAAAAAAACAGTTGGATTGATAATATAAAATGAAGTCCCAACAAACAGTGCAAAATATTTAGATATAATGGTATTTGTAGTTTAGTTTTGTGTATATTTGCTCATTTTGATACTCATAAACTGCAAAAAAAGATTAAGAGTAGCATTCCAGATTAATATTGCACTTACTTAACTTTCAATTTTCTAAGCTGTTTAAAAGTTACTGAGTTACTTTCTTTAAAGTGTGATTATAATAGTAGCTCTTTTGAATCACTGTCAGTAATGTTTAACACCTTGATATTGTGGAAATTTCAAAAGAACAATTTGGTTTTAAATGGTTTAAAGTTTCTTCTAACGTGTGGTATATTATGAAAAAAATTCTTACCTGGATATTGTCAATGTAATTTAAGAAGACTTCAGTGTCTACAACTTCTGATATACGTTGCGTAACCCACTTTTCCAATTCTTTCAAAAATCTCTTTATAGGAGGCCTTCCAGGAAAATACTAGTAAAATGAAAATTAAAATTATACTGTTATAGATAATATTTAAATTAAGGTCAAAACAGTTTAGATACGAATATAGAGGGAGAGTCAACAGTACCGATTTTCTCTGTTATTATGAAAGCGTGAAATATTGAACATCTGCTGACCTAGGGTATTTAACACATGATACAAAGATGAAATCAAGATAATCCAAATGCTATCTCTTGTTTGCATGATTTTATAATTCACTCAATATTAAGGTAAAATATTAAAAACTATGTAAAATCCAAGGTTTCTGGAATAACATCATTGTGAACTCCAACCTCGGACTAATATTTTACGAGTAGCTTTTGATTGACCATTGTCAGGTAACAAATGGCATATGTCTAAACATCCTACATCACTAGATTTTCAATATTGCAAACCTACTTCAGAACACTATTGAAAATCATGACTTTTGATTTACTTTGTATAAGAACAAAGCTAAATCAAATTTTCTTGAATAGTGTGACTTTACTTCAAACCTCTCCTGGTACATACAGAATTTCTGTCCCTCTCTCTCTCTCTTTTTGTATATCATTTTGAAGTGTTTTAATCATTATGTATGACTCTTAACCATGCTGTTAAAAAGTTTTCCTTATTGAATATATGCATTAAAACAAAATTTACTTACATTTATATATATATATATAT